AAAAATAAAGTAAAATTGAGAGGAAGGTACAGAGATATACCTTATCCCTTCCGCTCCCATGCACTCATAGCCTCTCCCATTGTCAACATACCCCTGCAGAGCAATACATTTGTTATTGTTGATGAACCTACATTGACACATCATAATCACCCAAAGTCTATAATTTACATAAGGGGTCACTCTCAATGTTGTACATTCCATGGGTGAAGACAAATGTATAATGTCATTTATCCACCAATATAGTATCATACAGAGTATTTTCACTTCCCTAAAAGTCCTTGGTGCTACACCTATTCATTCCCCAGCTCAACTTCTGGCAACCACTTGTCTTTTTACTATCTCTGTAGTTTAGCNTGAATATTCATAACCAATTTAAAAAGTATAAGAGGAAAAGAAATGGAAGATAAACTTCTGACAACTTGGATTGTCAGATGCCATAGACAGAAAGGGGTACTACACAGGTTCTTCCATACTTATGGCAAGCTCTTTAGAATAACTTATTTCATTGAGACTAAGTAGTACATTTCTCACCTATTAACATTACTGAAATTAAGGTACTTCTTATAATTGATGACGTGTCATAGTTTTATTAGCAGAAAGATTTTTTTTCTTTCTTAGGGATGTATAAAATAGTGCTGTGTCTTACGATTGATTGTGGTTTATGTTTGATGATGTATGATGCTACACAAGAAGTTCTGCCAGAGTGGTTATTTCTTTGTGAGATTTTTCCTATGACAATATTAGGATGATCAGGTAATGTATGTGATATGATATCATTTGAAATTTAAGCTTTAAAATGCATTTCTTAATTCTATTATTGAAAAGGTACATTTTAATTTTGAGGATTTTTAACAATCATCTCTTAGATATTTTAATTTTTCTAAGATTGTACAACCGTACATGCTGCAAAACCTCTTGCTCATGCTATAAAACCTCACCAAATTGCTTAACTAATGAAGCTAAACTTTTAAGACTTTACTTTTAAAAAAATATATATTTTTTAAATT